TTCGGCGCCTTAAGGTATCCTATACATGCTCAATCGGGTTCAATTTGAGTGAGTAGGGTGACCAATCCATCAGAGTGTAATCTTCTGTTTTCAAGTATTCTATCGCCACATATGCTCGATGAGGCTGACCATTGTCAACCATTAGCAAAACAATCTTCGCCAAAAGCACTCCTAAATAGTCTAACTTGGTGGTCCAGTACCTCGTCCACATATCTCCGAGTGGTTACAGAAACTCCTCTAAGGGTATGCAGCTCAATGCGGCCATTTCTAATGATTCCTCACTAAACCATTAAACCGCTGTTCCGGAACGGGATATTTCACAGACAAGGGAAGGCAAGTTGCGTGTTTCTTCCTATCTCCAGATCAAAACATGTCTAGAATCACTGTTCACCTTATAACTTGACTCGTCAGTAAACAATACTCCGGCGCAATCATCTTTGTTCCGTTGGACATAACGACGGCCCCAGCTTGAACGGGCACCTTTGGAAACTGGAGTGAGTGGTACACAAACCATTAGTTTTCTAGCATTACAGTTCAACCTCGCTAAGCCTTCGCGCCACAGTAGAACGGCTAGTTTGAGTTGCTGTGGCAGCCAGAAAGTCTGAAAACAAATCTCTTTTAGTCGCTTCGCGGTTTCTTCGAACCACCAAAGACACGAAACGGCTTTATGATGCAGAGTTTGCTCGAGGTCGCCATTGACCAGGTTTTCAGTGAACTGATCCCGTGCTTAAAAAGCGGTTCCAAACTCTTGATGACACTTTGAGGGCTATTTAAATCAAACGACCTCCATCTATGCTTGAAGTCTCTTAGTTCTACCAATTATTCGCCACTTTTGTCCTTCGCTTACACGATGCCTTAATTACTGAATACTGATGATCACTCTCAGAAACCACACTCACTTTAAGCAGCACAACAGACCAAAATTCCAACATGTGTTCATAGCACACCACATTGCCAATCACAGAATTTACATGTTTCCGGGGCTAATGTAAGCTCGGAAATGCATTTTTGTACTCAATTGCATTTAATTAACATAAATAATTTAATAATTTTAATTAATATAAATAATTAGAGCATTGGCATTGCTTGCAATATTAATTTAGTGAGATTATTTCTTCTCATTATACTTTAATTTTGATGAGCAGTATATATATATAGATAGATAGATAGATAGATAGATAGAGATAGAGAGAGAGAGATAGACATATAGACAGATATAGATATATTGTACATATATTAATAGGTAAAAGAGAAATTGCTTCTGTTACGTAAAAATAATTTGGTAAAACAAACAAGTGCAACAATGTATTTAGAAAAAAAAAATGTATGCTTTTTATTGTAATAGGAAGAATTCCTTATTGTCATAAAATATTTTCTGTCATAACAAGCGATTAAATATGAAAAAAAAAAAGTTAAGTAAACGGAATTAAATAGCACATCTAGAAACATGGATCCATTATGTTCTAGTATCTGAAATTTCAAAGAAATCTGACATTAAATGCCAAAGCCAGAATGAATCAAAGCGTGAAAAATATCAAGGAAATGAAAGCACAGTGGAAAAAGTAAAACGGCATCACAACATAGATTTATGAAAAGACATATTGTTTATTGAGCGTTTAAAAAATTCTCAATTCCACGACGTTTGTAAACTGACAGAAACAGAAGGCTGCACAATTTCCTATTCTATTTGACAGCGACAGTGAAAAATCAATTCTTTATGTTAAAAAATGTTAAGTGTTCAAAAAATTCTAAAAAAGAGGGGAATGAAAATTGGAAAATTTTCTTCAGCGTCTTTGTTCTTTTATGGTATTTATAAAACATGGCTGTCATCCACTTCCACTCAACTTGGAATTTATTTTTTTCCTAAACCGTTGTGGAACTGCCTGTCACATGATATCTTTTTTATATTAAAAGAAACGTTATTGTTTCTCTAGACAAGATAATGGCAGAGAAAATTATTTTGAAAGTTTCTTTTTTAAAAGCTTAGTTCCTTTTAATGGTAGCTATTGAAGTAATCATAGATGTGGGTTCTGAAATAATTTCTGTGGTAATACATTTATGATTTTATTTTATCTTTTTAGAAAATACTCAACATTATTTGCAACTTTGCCAGTTACTCTAGAAAAATGGAAGAACACTCGCGAACTCTCTATGTTTGCCAGTTTCTTTGTCACTCATTACGCATATATATATGTATATGCATATCTATCTATCTGTATACGTATATATTTAAGTTAATCAATCGTAATAAACTGCTTAATACATGCGCTAAAACTGCAAAGTAATAAAATAATAACTTATTTTCTATTAAATCATTTAGTATATATATATTATCTCGTTTGACAAAAAGTAGATAGAATTCTATTAAAATTAAGTAACTCATTAGCATATTTAAGTATTAATTTATTCTAGATTCAATTTTTAAATATGCTAATGAGTTACATAATAATAATAGAATTCTAACTACTTCTGTCAAAGGAGTACTAAGTACTTCTTTGTACTCCTCCTACTCTTACTCCTAAGGAGTAGTCTAATGTACTAATTAATTACATTAGCCTTGTTAGAAAATATGCATGCATATTTATATGTATGTGTGCGTAAAAGAACATTTCAATATTGTAATAAGATTACTTGGAGAAAGCTGAAACGGATTGGCAGTGGTTCTTGAGTCATAACATGGAGACTTTATTGAGTAGTTAGAAAGATGACACTCGAAAGAGACCATGGACTTGCAGACATAAGGGGCTAAATTGAACATAATTTTTATTTCTGGACGTAATTTTATTGTATCACATTTTAGATAATGACGTAGTTAGCAACACGACAAAGCAAAGAAAGCGAAGTAGCAGCTTGAGCGCAGGAGTGCTCAAGCTAAAAGTGCACAACTAATCCAATGTGAAGGCTGAGCAAGAGAAGGTTTGGATTTAGATTAGAAAGGTTTCAGTTCTCGAAATTTTGAGAACAGGTTCCGAATTAGCTACGTCATTAGAGTTACGCGAATCATGTATTGATCTAGAAATGATGCAATCTAGAAAAGTTATTACGATTTGTAGCATAGAAAGGGGGAATGAAGGGATAATTTAAGTTATTATTTCTACTTACTTATTTTTATCGTACATATATGTAATGCTCTAAAATGCGTAGATGAAGGCTTTGGAATTTTAACAGCTTTCGATAACAGTCATGGCTGAGCAGAGAGTAAAGTTTGAAGGTAAAAACTAGAATGACGCAGTTAACATACTTGAAGAATTTCTAGTATTTATTTTCGTACATAAAATTCATCTCAGTAGATATTTATCCAATCATAAGGAAATCGATACATTTCTATGATTCAATCATAATGAATATGATAAACTTCTATGTATATTGACTTTTAAAGAGAAATGACGAAGGCAGTTAAGCAAAGGTAAAGCGACGCAATGTTGACAAAGCAGTAGTTAGGGAAGGGAAGAACGGCGTAGTTTATTGTGTTAAGAGTATTTATACCAAGTCTGAGGTATAAGTAGAGCTAATCTGTGATTGGTTAAATCGACGTTGTTACATAACAAAGAAGATTCTTGAATTTGGGAGAACAGATGAATTTAGGGGGAGATCACCAAATCTAGAACGTTAATTTTGAGGTCACCAAATATTTTTAAAGCAGCTATCGTATTTTCTTATATTTGACATATCCCCCTTCAAAAGAAAGGTCGGAAAAGCAGGGAGAAACGCATCAATGAATTAGTGAAGCAAGAGAAATTTTATTGTATGAGAAATTCTTATATCTTACATATATAAATACATATGTAAATCAGCTTTATAATGTAATTAAATAATTCCTCATTTTTAATTTGGGTATTTCCTTTCTGCATTTTAAAAGTAGTAATCACTTTCATTGTGATTAACTTAACTAGTCATTAAGTTAATTGGAAATGCAGGAGAGATGAAAAATGAGCAAACGTCTTCCCCGGGAATCGAACCACGGACTTCTGGATTACCGGCCCAGCGTGCAGAACCACTATACCACGCACGCACGTTAGGAAAGCGGGAGAAATACCTTATAACTTTATCGAAAGCGTCTTTTGTATATTGAACTATGTCACACGGCTTGCGTAACGCTGATGACGTAGATAATTCGGAATCTGAACTAAATATTTCAAGAATGAAACCTTTCTAACCTAAACTAAAACTTTCTCTTGATGAGTTTCCATACTGGCTAATTGCTACGTTGCTTTTAACTCTCTTTATGTTCAGACACTGGCGTGCTGCTTTTCTTTCTGTCATAATACTTTTATAAAAAATAAAGGTGTTCTTGACTAGGCACAATAAGAGTGCCAAATAAATTGTTGCCACAAATTTCAATCGAAATAAAAATGAATATTTAATCTTATTCGGCTGCCAAGTTTCCTACTTATTACGGATTCAACATATGAGAATTCTTTGAAATCAATCCTGTTCAGTATGGATCTATGTTCTATGCTATTTATGTGCTGCGCCATCAAGTAATTCTACGTTTCTAACGTCTTATTTGTTTTTATTACTTTATATATGTATATATATATATATGTAATAATATTCTGTATATATATATATATATAAATATTGAAAAAGAACAAGATGTTTTTAAAAACATTATAGCTTTATTGAAATATTTTTTTCCAGTTTTGAATCGTGTTTGATTTTCTTTCAGTATTTCCTTTTGCAAACCTAACCTCTTTCGTTATCTAGTCTTGACTTAATTTTTTATCTCTTGATTATATCAGTATATCAATAATAGATATGAGTTTTATTCTTCTTTTTTTTTGTAATATTAATCACTTAATTTCCTCCAAAAAGTATTCAATTTTATCCTTACACATCTGTTAAAATAAAATCTTTAACTCTGAACATTTATCTTATAGATAGCATCATTCAACATTATTCGTAAAAGTTATAGTAAAGGTTATCTTTAAATAGCTTAAGCCAAAACTACAAGTATAACTGTATTTAGATTATATATATTTTTATTATGTCATTTCTAGATGGTCGCCGGATTCCCTACAATCACAGGCAGAGGGGATTCAAAAATGGTACACTAATTATTCGAGAAATAGATCGTAGAAGCGATGGCGGTGAATACAGATGCATTGCAAGAAACAGTCAAGGGCAGAGGGGTGAGAGGACATTGAATATTAGAGTTCTAAGTAAGTATTAGCATGCATTTTCGCAATTATAATTTCTTAACAAATTAGGTTTTTAGATCCTGTAATCAGTTAAATTTTAAATCTAAAAAATAAGATTATCAATTTATAAAGTGATTTTTTATTTAAAGCATCCTTATCTGTAGTTATAAACATAATTAATCTTTTCTGATATTTATACATGAGTCGGAAATTTTAAAGTTAAAGAAAGATATAGAAAAATTAAGAAAGGTTAAAGAAAGGTAAAGAAAGTTTTTAAAAAAAGTTAAAGGCATTTTAATATAAGGAAAAGTATTTCAGGAATTTTAGCATATTTATGTAATAATTTATCACGTTAAATGATAAAAGATGAATCACGATGAACAATATTTTGTGAATTTATTCATGAATATAAAAAATAAGAAAATACAAAATATGTTGTTAATGAATATAAACAAATATGAAAACGTTTTGAATAATTTATGGGAATATTCTCAAGCAGCTCTTTCTCTTAGTATTTATTCCTTGTTTCACGTAGTATCAATTAAATACGAGTAATAACAGACGTTTTCTAAATTTAGAGCTACTAAACGCATCACTAATATTAGACATCCTATTAGATTAATTAAAAGAAATGAAATTCATCAAGTGAAAGAAAGATATTTTCCTTTTCCTTCTTTTTATTAATGAAATGAAAACGGGAGTGTGAACATTTTACTTATTTATGCAGCATACAATTTATCTTGTAAATACTAATATAAAATTTTCGTATTTCCAAAGTAGCAAGTACAGTATCGAAATTTATAAAATTCCATTATTTAATGAAGGAAACTGAAACAGGCATAATATTCGCATTAATATCGTTTCATTAGCTTAATAATGACTGTGCTAAACAGTTTCTTGATATTTTGATAATGCTGATGTTTACCAATATTCTTAATTGGCTAAATCCTACTATGCATTATAAAGGAGATATATCAGTCTTTTTAAAGTTACAGATATTTTTATCTTCATACTACTCTTTAAATAAATATGCTACGGGGTCTATTTTCATCATGCTTTTAGGCAACCCCTTCAACTTGTTTCTGTTTTGGCTGCGTCCATGTGTTTTAAATGTTAGATGTTGTCTCAGATCCTAGCGCACAAATCTTATAGATACAAATAGAAATATTAAATGCACTTACGATACGATGTAAATTTTATACTCAAATGCAATTGATAATCTACCTTTCTCCATAATCTACCTTTATTATTATTTTGCCTACAATTTTAATAATTTATCCATCTTCCAGAAATAATTCCAGAATAGCTGCTTCTCCTCCAACGAACGAGGGATACATTTCTAGGCGTCATTGCATTTAATGAAATATGATTTTAAATTTATGTCTCCACCTAGATAACATGTTTATTATGAAATCTCATGCCGCATCAATGTTCGTGAGTTCTAAGGAATACCAAGTCACGGGCATTTTTAAGTTCATAGTGTCTTTGTGACGTAAAGGTACTTATAAAAACAAAAACTCTATCAAAAGATTCATTATAGGAAAAACAAAAGAGACAAGACGTTTGAATTCCATTCTTGAAGTGTTATCAAAGGTTCCTCTTACGGTTAAAAAATTGTATGACCTCTACTACTCCTTTTTCACCTTATTCTCATGAATGAAATGTTTAGAAATGAACATGAAAATAAGAATTTGCATGTTGTATATCTATGAAATTATTAATAGTAAAGGAAATCTCAGGTATTTATTCCATGTTTTCATTTGAATCTGCTATAAAACTTCAGACCTGAAAGCATTCTTTGTAGTTAAAGAAAGGAACTTCTGCTAATACTGCTATACTTTCTGCTAATTTCTGCTATACAACTATGGATTATGAGTATTTTAATAACAAATACTTTATACTCATTAATGTAATTAAAGGAAAACCCATTTTGGAACCAGGCAGTTAAAGTGCGTGTATTAAAATCATATGATGTAGATTTTATCAAAAACACTGCGTTTTCAAAGTAGCTGTGTGTACGTAGGCAATATGAATGTTAAGTTACTTATTCCTCTTTACATATTATGAGAAGGGAGGAATTAATTTTGAAGTAAAAAAAATTAAACCATACATTAATAAAAGTATCGAGATTTGTCTGTAAATGATACTGCAACTTGAAATAACAATGCTAGAAATAAATACCAATTACTTCGGATTTATTTATTTAATTTTGACATTTACCTGAAATAACCTGCTTCTACGTCAAAAATATTAATACATATTTGTAACTAAAACACATGGAAAAATTTACAACCTTACTTAAAATGTCACTTATATAGAAAATGTTAAAATAAAGCGAATAATAAATTTAAATAGTAAATTTGAAACCTGCGTGCTTTTAAAACGCATTTAAGTTGCATTTATGTTTCTCTACATATGTATTAATTATAGGCTCGAGGTATGAAGATTTAGGTAGCTATTTCACAGGGAAAAAAATAAAAATGAGTTTTTACTATTTCTCTATAATGTCATTCATTTATTATTCACACAGTATTTAATTGCTCGCAGAAAAATTTAGCTATCCCTTGCCGTAATTTTAAAGTTTACAGCAGTTAATATAGGCAGTTAAAAACCAATATTTTCTTGTCGCAAAATGTTTCTTTTCTTCAAAATAATAGATTCTGCTTTCGGAATTACGATTTCCTTCATCAGAAAATCACACCACGTCCGAAGTGTCGAGAAATTCAAACTCTTCTCCTTCAGAAGCAATAAATCTTAGAGCTGAAAAATTTGTTTCTTCAAGCTTAAAGACCGAAGCTTGCTGTCGACTATCGAAAAGCTAGAAGTTTGGTAGTTATGTCAAATCCAGCCGGTGTTGCCATGGAAATAGATAAAGTAACCCGATCTCAGGGATTTTACATTCCGGAAAGAAATAACAGTGTTTCTAATAACATGAAATCTTATTTATTTTACAGCTCCACCAGTTATAGAACCTTTTCACATACCAGAAGCCATAGAAGAAGGCGCTCGATCCAAACTCCTGTGCTCTGTGACAAAAGGAGATCCACCAATCACTATACAGTGGTTAAAAGACTCTAAACCCCTAACTCCAGATCTAGGAGTGACGGAAACTGTGTTAGACGAGTTTTCGAAGGCTTTGTTATTTCCCAGAGTGGAATTAAGACACAGGGGAAACTACACTTGTACTGCAAGGAATATGGCCGCTTCTGCGAGTTTTACGGCTTCAATGGTAATCCATGGTACGCTGTTTTCTGACATGCAGTTTTTATGTATTAGTTTTTTGTTATTTAAAATTTTTGCATGCTTAATATAGTATTCTGATTTAGGTTAGCATGCGAATTTTTTCATTTGTAAAGTATGTGTATAAATATTTATTAATTATTCTTGATTAATTCTTTTTCAATGTAAATATGGTTAAAATAGCATACGGATTTAAAGTTGCCATAAAATCATACGTTTTCTCCTTAAGTATACATAAGTTTTCGAAACTATTCATAACAATTTAGACATTCATTAGTATTTTTTTTTCGATTTTATTTATTCTCAATTTGACAACCAGGGAAATGCATGATAATTCACGAAGTGAAATTAGGTTTCCGATGAACCGTTATTATATTTATTATGAATGTTTCTCCTACTTGTGTGCGTTTCAAACGTCTACGCGCCAGCCAACGCGTAGGCGGTCAGAGTTATAGGAGCCCACCAGCGGCCGAGTGGTAAAGTTGCTGAACACTGGTAGTTCGGTCCGAGGTTCGAATCCCGAGAACGGGCTGGCTGCATGGGCGTTTTCGTGGTCTTCCCCATGTGTAACGTGTATACGAGCCAGTTTCCCTTAGGAAGTTCTCCACGAAGGCATCCCTCCCCTTAGGCAGATAGCCCTAGTGTGCTTTGTCATAATTAAATAAACAAAACCAAACCAGAGTTGTAGGAAGCAGGCGCCAGTCAGGATTTCAATTGTCTTCGACACCACTTCAAGCTGCATGGAGATTAGTTTGGCTTTAGCTTAAAGGGATTTCGGACGTGATCGTTAGGGTCCGTTTATTGAGACCGTGGTATAAATGTTATAGAGTATAAAATATGGGAGTTCTGTTCACATCTGCGAGACAGGGTCCAAACCGTAGTCAATTACAGGAGCTAAATTTGCGCATGAGTTTGGGTGTATCTACAGCTTTCCCGCTCTGTTTTGCCAACCAGGTTTCTTGCGTTCACTCTGGTTGGTCAACTCTTATAACAAGTTGGCATAGTTGGAAATTTCGAACTTTATGCCAAAGCCCCTAAACTAGATTTTGTGACCTAGCAAGATCTGGTTACCTAGCAGCCGCGCTCGGCTTAAATCACTTATGATTTTAAGCTTCGTTCAGAAGGTGATATTGTAGAGTTTCCGTTATTTTGCATTAACAATTTATTTTACGTTTAGTACCTCTCTTGAACCTCTCATTCTCCTTTCGCATTTCCTGGCCAGGACGCAAATTTAAAGTTAATTGAAGTGGATATAAAGTCAGACGAATCTTTTAGTTCATTCAGAGCGGGATTTCGTTAGCCAGCGCCAATTGCTAGTTTGCCCTTGCTGTTGCGCCGAGTTTCTGATACAAGTTTTCGGCCATTTAATAAGTGCATCGCATGATAGGGTGTTGAGTCAGCTACTTAGCATTAAATGAAATTGTTAGTCCAGCACTAATCTTTATCTTTGAAATTATTTTGTAACTATTCTTAAGTTTCATCGTAAGTAGGCGGTGTTATTGTAAGCAGGAAATGCATGTATTTATGTTCAGAGTTTGACGAATAATAAGGGGTGTAACAGACCTATTTAAGTGTAATTGAACTATTTTATTCACGCCATGAACTCATGAACTGTAACCGAACTATTTTATTTAAACGTCATCTCGTGGCGATATGAAAAAACGTCAGTCGACCTCCAGCCGCCATGATGATAGCTTACTATGTTATGTTATTCTCAATGTTTCATTTTTTATGTATATTTCTTTTGTTTGTAACCGTTCCTGTGTGCTCTGTTAATAAATCCTTTTAAAGCTAGCCGGCATTAGTGTCTATTGAGGAACGGCTACATCACATTGGCGCCCAACTAAATTTGAATCCAAAATGGCGCAACAAAATGTTTAGAATTTCCGTTTGGCTTTAACAAGCCTCTTACTCCCGAATTTAACTTTTAGTTGCTGGAGATCGGCTCAGTTTCTTTTCAGGTGTGGACTACTGCTGGTCAAATATTTTGGAAACCAATTCTGGAATTAAAATTGTCATACCGTGCTGCTAGCACATCGAATCATCAACAGTTGGACAATTTCAACGGAAAAGATAAGTTTCGGTTTACATTATCGTTTAATCTGAGTTTAAAGTTCTTTTAAACTGATTATTTATTATAAGCTGCTTCTTAAAGCAAATGTAAATTCTTTACTGAAATCTCATTTATTGATACTACATAAGAGTATTAAACGAAAGCAAACGGCTTTCTGTTAACCAAACGTTATTTCTTGAATTGTAATTTGTTATTTTAAAATGTTAATGCGCATAGTAAATTAATTTGTGAATAATATTGTTTCACTGAATACGTGTTTTAATGTTAAAGTTTGAATATATTCATGGACGTTGTTCATTAGAATTTATTAGTTTCGATTCTGACATACAGCAGCAGATGTTTTCCCCCCGCGGAAATGTTTAGACTAGCGATGATTTATGATGTGTTTACGTCAAATCTTTTATTATTTTTATTTCCTTTGAGTGCTGTTGTTCCTTATTAAATGTTTTATTCTACATAAATTAAAATATTGTACTTGTTGCTTTATCTTTCGACGAACATTTTGAGAAAATGATTATAGTATAATACTTTAAGAAAATACGATTGTTTTCCTTTAATGAATGCATGTCTTGAAAATATTTCTTGAAGCGAAAGAAAATAATTATGAACAAAATCGAATGACTATTTAAATAAAGTAAAAGAGTTACTAAGTGTGTGTTGCTTAATCAGCTTAATATTTTGTTAAGATTAAGATTTCGAAGAATTCAGCTTGAATATAAAAGCTTATAGTAAGACATTTATGTATGTTTTGCTAAGTAGTAAACAATTTTTGAGCAATTTATTATATGTTATTTCTTGATACAAGTTGAATTTATGAGGGCATTTTATGATATTTTTACGACTCCGAAATAATAAACTTTGTGAGTATTATTGTTTTACATTTATAAATACTGTTTAATAGTGGTATATAAATGTACGAGTAACATTGTTTTACATTCATACATGCTGTTTAATAGAGGTATATACATTTTACTTAAAGGTATAATTATTAATTCTATAATACTGTATTGTGAATAAAATCGAAATAACAACAAATTCAACATCATCTTTTCCCTCCCCCCTGACCTCTCGTATAATTATGGCTTACCTTGCCAAAGCACGAAAAGAGGATTTAAAAACTCTCGCTGCAGAACTGGGTTTCACTGTAAACGACACTATGCGAGTAATAGATCTTAAAGATCTTATTGTCAATTCTGACACTTATGATGAGGCTTTTACCAGGAATCTTCTGGAAACTTTAATCGAAACTAGACAACAAAAACAACGTGAAAGCAACGATCTGGAGACACGTCAAAGAAAAGAACAAGAACTTTTATTAGAATTGGAACGTTTAAAATTAAACCTGGCAGCTGCTAGCTCAAATCCTAACTATGCCGCCTTTGCTTCAAATGCAGCAATTGCTTCAAATGCAGAAACAAATATTCAACACCTAATCCCTAAATTTGCAGGAACTCCTGACATTGCAACCTACCTGCAAATTTTTGAAAGACAATGTGAGAAAGTTAATATAAAACAAATAGATTACATCACTCATCTCCTACCTCTTCTGCCTATAGGACATTTCGACAAATTATTTTAAGAGAACCAAAAGACAAATTAGAAGATTATTCTTACATCAAGAAGATTCTGCTACAAAGATTCAAATTAAATGCTGAATGATTTCGAATTAAACTTACCTACACACCATAAACACCCTGGGTCCTTTATGGAAAGATTTTACTTACGAATTAAACAATTATCTCGAAGAGTGGCTCCATAGTCTCGATGTTACAGACTTTGAATCACTCAAAGACTTGGTCCTGACGGATCAGCTTAAAAGAAGAGTCAGTAGTGATGTTAAGGAGCATTTTATTGATACTTGGGAAAAATAAAGAGTTCATCTGAATTAGTACAGAAATTGGATGATTATGAAGCTGTACGTGTTAAAAATACGAACTATAAAACTCAAGCTTCCTGGCAGGCGGAACTATTCTTACAAACCGACTAATCCATCCAAACACAAAGTAGAAAATCGAACAAGTGACATACAGGGAAACTCGTAAAACCTTTTCAAATCGTGGTTCAGCAACAAACAGAGGAAAAGCGACCTCCTTTAACATTGCTATGGGTGCGGAAAAACTGGTTTTATCAAGTCTAAATGTCCAGACTGTAACCCCCCAAAGACTTCAAATTCATCAAATTTTGGCACTATCCAAATCCGATCCTGTTTATCTTCCACTCGGACTGATGTATTTCGAATTAGTATTGGTGGTGTTTCCGGTACAGCTTTCGCCGACACTGGTGCTAGTCACTCAATTGCAAGTGAATCCCTCTATCATATTCTGCAAAAACAAGATGCAGTATTTGAAAAGACAACACTACAGGTGTCTTTCGCTGATGGTTTGGTATCTGAAAAAAAAGAGGTACTTCGCACCGAACAAATCATTCTTCTCGAAGGCAGAGAGTTCAAAACTCCGATCCTTGTGTTGCCTGATGCCAAAAATAACTCGACTCTGTTAGGAACTGACTTTCTTCAAAAAAGCTAAAATTGTTTTAAATCTTGCTGAAAATAAGTGGAAACTTTTCTGATGAACCTCGAAGAAAATATAGCTTCGTGAAACCTCATCAATCCCAAGTAACTGGAAGAAAACCCCAGTTGTTGTAAACAACTGCCGACTACGAGAAAATGAAGGACAGCAATTAACTACAGCCCAACGGCTTGCAACTGATGCATTGCTTAACAAATATCACACTGTCTTCAAAGTAGGGGGAGAAGCCACTAATCAAAAGCCATCTGGCTTCCTTCAAACTCCAGTCTATGCTCAACGTTTTGAGACCTTGTCAATTGATCTTTTCGGTCCCCTTCATGAAACACCGTCTGGTGAAAAATGGATTTTTATTGTGCAGGACCGTGCCACGAAGTGGACAGAACTATTTGCTTTAAAG